TAGCCAATATGGAAACAAACCTACTTTTGTTTCTGCAGACTATGGAACTACAATGAGATGGGGTCATAAAGCTAATCCGGATAGGTGGTTCATAAACTTACAACCTCAATTCCAAGAAGTTGTAGACGCAATGGAAGTGAATGGTGAACCAGATATAGCTGGTATTTTCAGCGCGGCTTTAATGCCATTGAAAGATATGAAAGATGCAGATATTTTGAACCAGTATGAAATGAACATGGCTGATGGAAATATAACACCTGACGTTCTAAAACATTTATCTCAAAGAACTACACAGAACCATAAAGATGGTATATTTGGTGAAGAGTTTAGAAAAGAAAGTTAGGGAGATAGAAGGAAGAGAACCTTTGTACATGACCTTGCAAACGAAAGTTTGCAAAATGTCATAAAAACTTACTTTGCAGACAATGAACCGAGAATGGATGAATATTTAAGAAAACTCAAATGGACAGTACAAATGAAATGTTAGTATTGAAAAACATGTTCCTTGACAAAATAAAACCAACTACAGAAATAAATGACGCAAGACTGAAACATTGGGTAAAAGCTTTCCCATTCACAAAAGATATTATTGGTAACATGGAAAGAAAACCAGAATGGCTACAAAACATATATTTGGAAACGAGCTTATTCCATATGGACAAGCTCTGTTTGAAGAGCTTGAACCGGAAACTCAGGAAAGAGTCATGCAAACAATACGCGAAGACTCAAATACAAACTATGACAAAATCTTTCTAGGATATAGGTTACCTGAGATGGGCGACCAGAGCCCAAAGGCAAAAAGGACATGGGAAATTTACAACATACTAGGTGAAATGAGGCAAAGATGCAACAACTTGAAGCAGAGGGCAAGTTACCAAAAGCGACACCAAAGAAGAAGAGTAGAACAAAGTGAAAATAGTGAAGAAGTAACTTCATCTAGTGAAAGTAGTGGCAATGAAGGAAAAAGAAGAGTTAAAAACTCAGTCAGGAAGAAAGTAAAGCTTGGTCCGAAACAATTATGACATATAAATCCAACTATTCTATATTTTTACCCATATGAAATGTACGCCGCTCAGAATATAACGCCAACAGTTTTGGATGCCATGAACGGAAATGTTTCTGAATGGTATAACGAATGCGACAATGCCATTAGAAGGTCAGAAATAGTTCCTGGAACTTACGAATATACAACTGCTGTTTCTTATGGAAACGTAGGTGAGTTTGGAGAAGGTTCTTCAACAACAGTAGATATTGCTTGCGACAGGTTTCATATTATTTCTATTGACAACTCATTCTTATACGTGGAACAAGACATTGAAATAAAACCTTCTGCCAAGTTGTCTGACAAGAAAGGTTGCAATGGAATTTTCTATGTCGGATACCAATAGGCTCCAGAAGTTTTCATGGGATATAAGATATATTCTAACTCTGACTTAGTTCAAACAGTCACATGGGCAAACTATGAATGGTTTGCTTTGAGAAACTCAGTACAACCACAAGCTAGAGAACAAACAGACCAGTATGCAACTATTGAGAAAATAAGAAGACTTGACCCTAACGTTCCAGGAGTTTATGTTAACCTTTCTGGTTCAGATGGAACTGCTGCCACTAAAGTAAAACTGAAACTTAGAGTTCCTTTGTCATCTTTCCTCATCTTTAGGTTTTTAAGATACTTGCCAAACTGGGCAGGAAAAATTTCTATCGAACTTACTCCAAGCAAAAATAACTTAGTCATTGCACCAACACAAGACCCATTCACTCTTACAGACGTAATGGGAACAAATAAAACGTCATTCGCCGACTTTTGCAAAGACAAAGTTGACTTAGACTTTGGTTTCTCAAACTTCAACACTGAAGTAAACTATTATTTCAATGCTGCTGGAACTGCTTGGGACCCAGTTAAGTTCACATGCGAAAAATTTGAATGCAAGAGAATAGAAAGCAGACTTGCAGTCTATATGTTGGACCCAGATATTTCAAATGCTTTAGCTGCCAAATATATTGCAGTTCCACTTATGTTCCCTATACACCAAATATCTGTCAAAGACTTTGCAGGTGAAGTTGGAAACCAAAGTGCTGACCAGGTGCAAGAACAGATATTGCTTTAACAACTGCAATGAAACATGCAGATACTATGTTTGTACTGTTCAGACGAACTATAAATGACTATTCTTGTTTCTACAACCCCGGTATTAAATATCATATAAACATAGATGGCAAATATTATCCAAGAGAAGAATATTCTACAGTTGAGGATATGAGGTCATACAACTTGACATTAGATGCTATGAACTTTAACAACAACTTCACAACAACCATTAACCCTGAAATGCAAAGTTCTATTATGCCATATGTGAAAGTATGGACTCATACAGGAGGTCAAAAAACTCAATATACAAATGGAGACCGTTCAAACTTTTGGCTTGGCATTCCATTTGCTGACTCAGAAGACTTTATGGGTGGTATTTCAACTGTTGGTACTGTACAAATACAATATACTGGTGACAGAGACGGTCCAGATGAACTGAGAGCAAAGAAGTTTACAAAACCAATAGCACTTTTCACGGAAGATGCTCTTTTGAAGATTCGTTCGATGAAACCTGCTGGGGCTCCTCAGATTGGCATAACGACAGCTTCCATCGAGCAGATTTTGGCAGCAGGTCAGTAAGTTGTTCTTGAACTGACTTCTCACCGTCAAATATTGACAGTACGCCAGTTTTGACATAATATTGTATTATAAACTTTCCTTTAGAAATATCTGTAAGTTTTGAAGTTATATTTTTGTCTGCTTCAAGAACTTTCACCATTTCAGTTATACCAACTTTCTTTGCTTTATGAAAATATTTTGGTTCAGCAAAGACTGCTATTCTATAACATTTTCCATTGTTTGTGTAAAGAACTATTCTGTCAATGTATTTGTATTGTTTGTGAGTATAAACTTTGTTCTGCTTCAATTCAATAAGATATCCGAATACGTCCATCTTTTTATTCTAAGTAAAATGTCATTTCCGAAAAATAAAAGCGTAAGTGTTTCAAAAGGTTTAATGGCGGTGGCAGATGTGAAGTTAAATTCACCAACTCAAACAAACAGTCAAAGTATTGTTGTCAATGTCAAAGACAGAGATGTTGAAGTGGGGAAACCATACGAAGACGAAGATGGTATAACAATTGTTCCTGTAAAAGAACCAACATATCCTGAAGTTAGCAGAGACTTAAGTTCTGTTGCAGATATTCGAAACGACTACCAACAACTGAAAGACAAACTTCAAACTCAGGAGAAGATTTGTCAAGCTTTAAGTATAATGTTAAACTTGGTCGAACACAACCCTGTAAAAGTGAACTCATATGTCATTGCACCTCATGAAGTTTTGAAAGAACTATTGAAACTTTTGACAGAGGCAGACGATATAAACATCAAAGAAATAGAACCCGACATTAGTTGCTGTGGTGTTTCATATAATGTCATTGACAAGATATACGTTATGAAAGGAGGTGAAACGTTGAACTTAAAATATAGTTTCCCAGACGTTATAAAAATATTTGACGACCACAACATTTCATTAAAATTTATTTGCTAAGTAAATGGCAGAAGACATAATGGTTTATACTATTACGACTAAAAACCCTGAGTCATATAATTCTATAACAACAAACTTACAAAGTCCTCAAGGACGATATTGTAAACTAACCTTAAACACAATGACGACTAAAGCCTGTTTTGCTCTTTTGACACCAGAAGACTTTATTGTTGTGAATGGTAAAAAATACTCCTTTGAAGATACTTACTCAGATATACCACCAACAGGTTTTGTTGACTTATTTAATACTTTAAGTACGGGTGTAACATGTGCTGCAACTAGAGCAGGTTTCATTATGTTTGGATGTCCGACTGAGTTTACTATAAACGATATGAGCTATAATACAAAACTTATTTCTGGTTTTTACTACCAACAGTTTCCTATAACAGGAAAAGGTGTCATACAAGGAATGTCTATTCCATTGACATTAAGCACACCAATCTTATATATTGTTTCAAACTTAGGTTCAAAGTGTTATTCGAATGTCGACAGAAACTATTATGACCAAAAGATACTTATGCGTATAAACAATACTTTCTCTGCTGGTTTGCCTATTGTTCATTCGAATGCAGAATTTTCAACCTTAGTGAACTCAAACACTTTGGCAAGTATAACATTGACATTAGTTGACGCAAACTTTGTTCCTGTAAAACTTTTATGTCCTATGTATTTGTCAATGACGGCAGAAAGTTTCGAATTGGAAGATGCAACTGGTGAAAGTATTGTATTACAAGAACAACTTCAACAACAAATAGCTCAAGAACAACAAATGCAACAACAAAGTCAAGAATAAAAAAATAATATTTTTTTATTTTTATAAAAATGTACAGAATAGATGTTTCAGATTTTTATGACTTCCAAGCATTCAGAAATATGTGTCCATTTAGAGACTATAACAAAGCAGTCGAGAATTTGAAACGTTTAGTCATTTATGTTGACTCTGCCCCAGAATGTTATGTCATGAAAGAATGGGATGTTGTCTTTAACAAACCAAGAGCAACAATAGTGTCTGAACAAGAATGTAGACAGAAACTTAAGAAAATAAAAGTCGTACAAGTTGGCATGAAGATGTTAGATGCTTGGGATATCTTATTGTCAAAGTTAGAAGATTTTTCAGTTCGAGGTATAAAGTTCTATACACCTTCTCCAAACTTCTATTCTATCTTCACTGGATATAAATATGAACAAGTAGAATGGAAACACAGTATTATAGAAGCTTGGTTAGACCATGTCAAAGAAATTATATGCAATGGAAACGAAAAGGTTTATGAGTATATCTTATGTTGGTTTGCAAACATCTTACAACATCCAAGTGCTAAAAATGAAACTGCTCTCATTATAATTGGAAAACAAGGAACAGGTAAGAACACATTCTTTACAGATATTTTGTGCAAACTGTTAGAAGGTTATTCGAATCCGAATATGACAAACTTAGAAAACATCTGTGGCAAGTTTAACTCCTCAATAGAGAATATGAAACTTATAGTTTGCAATGAACTTCAAAGTATAGATACAACAAAAGTTTTGAACTCAGATGCTTTGAAGAGTCTTATAACAGACAAAGTTGGAGTTGTTGAAAGAAAGTATAAAGACCAAAGAGTTTGTGAAAATGTTGCAAACTTCATTATGGTTTCAAACAATGCTGTTCCGATGAAGTTAGAAAGTTCTGACAGAAGATATGTAGTTGTCAGAACGTCAGATTCTCATATGCAAGATACAGAATATTTTGACGACTTAGCAGAAACTTTGACATCTGACTTTTACAACCACTTGTTCTCATATTTTATGACATTAGATATTTCTAAGTTCAATCCAAGACAAATTCCACATACCGAAGAGAGACAAACATTGTTAGAAGCAAACAAGAGTGTATATGAACTGTTCATAGATGAAACTGACTTTGTGTCATTAGATGAAAGGTCATTGTACGATTCGTATAAACAATATTGTCAAGAATATGGTTATATGACAGCTTCTAAACGAACATTCTTGGCAAATGTCAAAAGTCTTTTAGACGTACAGAATGGTGTATATACAAAGAAAAATTTTTCTGAGTAAATTTTAAAAAAAATATTTTTTTATCCGATAGAAAAGATGACAAAATTCATCTCAGTAAACAAGTACATGTCAGGACTTAAAGAAGAACTAGACCCATTCACATATTTGAATGTTTACTTCTACCATTTTGAAAAGTCTTCATTCAGCAAAGTTTGGAACATCGAACCAGTTAAGTTTGCTATTGTGACTAAAAATGGTGCGAAATTTGAAGACTTAGACATAGAAGGTTTGTTAACAGTCAAAGAAAGTTTTGACAGAAGGTTTTCAAACCTTAAAGAAGGCAAAGCATACAAACTTGTTATACCTTATGAACCAAAGAAAGCAGACGACTATGAATATTATGAGTCTAAGATAGTTGAAGTTCAAGGTAAATTGGGTAAAAAGATTTTAGAGTCTAAGCCAGTGTTTGCTCCTAAAGAGGAAGAGAACATTGACATTGACCCAGAAATGTTCTAAAAATAAAATTTTATTTTTACATGTCAAATTTCTTTTTCTCTGGAACTGGTTCAGGTTCTTTCTTCTCTTCTTCTACTTTCTTTTCTTTCTTTTCTCTCTTCTTCTTTTCTGGTGGAGTTATGTCAAACTTCTCAGAACCATATCTATGTAAAAGTTCTTTGTCCTTTAATAGCTCATCTATTCTGTTTTCTATTTCATCTTCAAGAACAGCGCATGTGTCTTCTTTGCATTCTAAGAACTTTTGTTGGACTTCATCTTTCCAATCGGTGTCATCTCTGTCAACAAGTCTGTCATTGACAAATTTTAAGACTGCTCTGCTTAATGTTTTATGGTTCTTGTCATATTCCCAGAAACAGAACTTTAGAACAAATTCACCTTTCTTGTTTACACTATGTAAGATTTTATGGTCGACAGATGTTTTGCTGTCGAAAAGCTTGTCTCGAATATAGATAGCGAAATCGCTAGACATTTTCTAAAAGATAAAAATTTTAATTTTTCTAAAAATATGTTAGAAAAAAAGTTTGCTGACATTGACAAGAAATTTGAGAATGTTTTAAACAAGAACAAGAGGAAGTTAGAAAATGCTCAGATAAAACCCATACATGACAAGTTCTTATTTGCTCAGAATGGTATAACAGGTCTAATTGCACCACCTGGGTCGGGTAAGACTTTCACTTATCTTAAAATGGCTGCACAACAACAAGAACTAGATGAGAAGAACCCATTCTATGAGTTAGTTGTTATTTGTAGTACTTCTGGTCAATTTGACCAAACCGTCAATTCGTTCAAAGATATTATAAAGAAGTCTAAGTTAGTATGTATAAAAGACTCTGAGTTGTTGGATTGGATAAAGAAGTACCAAAGAAGAGTTTTGAAGTATAATGCTATAAATGAGTATATAAATTCGAAGTTTAAAGACCCAAATGAGGAAATGCAGAGAATATTAGAGAAGAAACACTTCAGAAACAAACAGAAAGAGATAGAATACATTTCGAAGAAATTGCAATCTTACGATTGGAAGACTTACCCTCATAGATGTCTTCTTATCTTAGATGATTTCGCCTCTCATCCTTTGTTAAAGAACAGAGAACAAGATATGTGTCGAATTCTTAAGAAGCTCAGACACTTTAACATCTCAGTTGTCATTTGTGTACAGACAGCAAAGAGTTTAAGTAAGGATGTTAAAAGAATACTTACTGACATTATACTTTTCCCCGGATTGTCCGAAGACGATTTCATGGAACTTATGAAAGAGTCCATGGCAGGTAAGTTTGACAGACATGAACTATGGGAGAAGTACAAAGTCATACAAGATACTTCTTTCAGAATTCATATCTACGCAAACAAAGTTCAAATTGTAAAAAGTCAAGCTTGAAAAATCTAAGTGTTTAGTCTTAGTAAGTCTGTTGTGGTGCTGGGTCTGTCGGTTCTTCTGGCTTTGGAAGGCATTCAGGAAGAGGAACGTCAGTCATCCGTTTGTGTCCTGTCGGAAGGAAGAGTCCTTCCTGTTGGAAGGAAAAACTTTTCCTGTTGGAAGGAAAAACTTTTCCTGTTGGAAGGAAAAATTTTTTCTGTCGGAAGGAAAAACTTTTTCTGAAGTTCGACCAAAAAGTTCTCAATTTTCGAAAATTTGAATGGTTTACGGACGGACAACTGGAAAATTTTTTCCTGTTGGAAGGAAGAGTTCTTCCTGTCGGAAGGAAAATTTTTTCCTGTCGGATGGAAGAGTTCTTCCTGTCGGATGGAAGGACTCGGAATGCCAGAAGGATTTGACGAGGCAATTTACCTAATTGAGCTACTTGAGCCATCTGAAGTCAAGCGTAAAAATAAAGAGTGCATTTACCCTACTTGTTTGAAGTTGTCAAAATACTCTGTTATTTTTTCCTTTAACAATGGCAAATCTTCTTTGAAGGTAAGTATTGTACAACCTTTAATATCATAGTGTGTTTGAGGTAACGTATCTTGAACTATTTGTTTCACATCTTCATTCGGTGTCATTGAAATCGGTAAGTTTTCGCGATAGAACCAATTTCTGTCAGATTTGTAAATCTTAGCAAGGTCGTAAAAGCTTTTGTTGTTTCTTCTGACTAAATGCAACATAACCATATCTTTATTCTTCATTTTCCATCTCTTCAGTATAAATCATATACTTATAGTTCTTTTCCTTTCCTTTTGGTACCGAACGTGGTATTCTTTTCTGAATGCTTTTGTCTTTTGCTTCAATGACTTCATCTTTTGCTTCAATGACTTCATCTTTTGCTTGAAGTTTCTTTTCCATCTCTTCACGTTCTTGTCTATGAATTTCGTCAAGAAGTCTGTAAATATACCAAGCATAACGAGGCGAAGCCCACATTGCAACAGCATTTACAAGAAGTCTATGTACATACCAACCTCTCAAACCATTTGGCAAATTTTTACGATTTTCATAGAGTTTTGGCGACCCCGAAAAAAGTCGGTCTCGCTGTGCTTCGCTCAAAAGTTCTTGTGTGCTTTGGTTTTTGAACCAATCGTCTGTATGTTTGGTATCTGGAGCAAAACATGCTGTCAAAATACTTTGCATTTGGTACATATCGTCTTTGACCGAACGAATGAGACGGAGTTGTTTGTTAAACTGTATGTACTCATATTCTTCATTTATATCTTCATGGACTATAACTGTTGTTGTGTTCTCTGTTGTTGACATATCTGTCTTTACATACAAAATAAAAAAATATTTTATAAAAAATTAGCGTTATTTTTTCTAAGTTTGGTCATCCTTCAGGGTATGACAAATATACTATATTTTACTTAAAAATATGCAAGCGGCTCATAGCTCAGTGGTATGGGCTACCTCGTTAAAGGCGTCGAAGACCTCGGTTCAAATCCCGATTCGCGCAGGTTTTTTTCCTTTTATGCAGTGAAATTTCATGTACATAGGTTACTTTGGTGTTAGACCCTAGTGAAGAAAATAGAATGATATAAGTTTACATTTGTAAGGTTACTTTGGTGTTAGACCCTAGTGAAGAAAATAGAACGATATAAGTTTACATTTGTAAGGTTACTTTGGTGTTAGACCCTAGTGAAGAAAATAGAACGATATAAGTTTACATTTGTAAAGTTGGACGATAAAAATCTCTGCTACTGTCAGTAAAAGTACTGCTACTGTCAGTAAAAGTACTGCTACTGTCAGTAAAAGTACTGCTACTGTCAGTAAAAGTACTGCTACTGTCAGTAAAAGTACTGCTACTGTCAGTAAAAGTACTGCTACTGTCAGTAAAAGTACTGCTAATGTCAGTAAAAAGGAAAATTTGAGAGGGTTTTCGACGATAAAGTACTGCTACTGTCAGTAAAAGTACTGCTACTGTCAGTAAAAGTACTGCTATTGTCAGTAAAAGTACTGCTACTGTCAGTAAAAGTACTGCTACTGTCAGTAAAAGTACTGCTACTGTCAGTAGCAATGGTCGAAGTCGAACCTACCGACGAGGCAATTTACCTAATTGAAATTAACGAGCTTGTTAAAGACTTCCTCAGGCAGAATGTAAAAGGCAAGCTTGTTAACGGTTAGAAACCGTATAGAACCTTCATTTTTTTCCTCAAAAATAATGTTTATGTTAGAATATTAGAAAATAACATTTTTTCTAACATAAGCGTTTTACATGGTAAACGTTATTTTTGGAATTTTGTGAAAACTCAACGGTTTGACACGTGCCATATGTTATTTTTTGACGAAGTGAACATTAACACTTCGTCAAAAAAATCCCTGAAATCATATCTTTTATACAAAAAAATACAAAAAAATGACACTTTTTCATTAGATAACTGTTATTTTTTGACGAAGTGTCAACCTTCACTTCGTGTCATAATGTAAAAATAACGTTTACCATGTAAAACGCTTGTGAAAAAACAGGTGAAAAAACAGGTGAGATCGCACCTCTTCACCTAAACATTATTTTTGGGTCCTTTACACTCATTACGAAGAAGTTTCGACAAAACATTTACGAAGAAGTCTTGACAAAACATTTACGAAGAAGTCTTGACAAAACATGTACGAAGAAGTTTCGACAAAACATTTACGCTCATTACGAAGAAGTCTTGACAAAACATTTACGCTCATTACGATGAAGAAGTCTTGACAAAACATATACGTTCATGTTTGACAAAACATATACGTTCATGTTTGACAAAACATTTACGAAGAAGTCTTGACAAAACATTTACGAAGAAGTCATGAAAATTCACGAGGGTAGAAGGTTAGATCTAACCTTCTACCCTAAAATATATTTTTGCTGAAAAATGACCAAAAATCTGAGTAAAATGGCATATGTTTGCTACCCTCGGAGAACCGAGGGTAGAGATTCCGTATGAAAAACAGTGAAGAACAGCGAGACCGACTTCCTTCGGGGTCGCCAAAACTCTATGAAAATCATGAATTTCCTTAAGATAGAAAAAATAACGCTAATTTTTTATAAAATATTTTTTTTTATTTTGTATGTAAAGACAGATATGTCAACATCAGAGAACACAACAACTGCTATCGTTCATGAAGCTATAAATGAAGAATACGAGTCCATACAGTTTAACAAACAACTCCGTCTCATTCGTTCGGTCAAAGACGATATGTACCAAATGCAAAGTATTTTGACAGTATGTTTTGCTCCAGATACCAAACATACAGACGATTGGTTCAAAAACCAAAGCACACAAGAACTTTTGAGCGAAGCACAGCGAGACCGACTTTTTTCGGGGTCGCCAAAACTCATGAAAATCGTAAAAATTTGCCAAATGGTTTGAGAGGTTGGTATGTACATAGACTTCTTGTAAATGCTGTTGCAATGTGGGCTTCGCCTCGTTATGCTTGGTATATTTACAGACTTCTTGACGAAATTCATAGACAAGAACGTGAAGAGATGGAAAAGAAACTTCAAGCAAAAGATGAAGTCATTGAAGCAAAAGACAAAAACATTCAGAAAAGAATACCACGTTCGGTACCAAAAGGAAAGGAAAAGAACTATAAGTATATGATTTATACTGAAGAGATGGAAAATGAAGAAGATAAAGATATGGTTATGTTGCATTTAGTCAGAAGAAACAACAAAAGCTTTTACGACCTTGCTAAGATTTACAAATCTGACAGAAATTGGTTCTATCGCGAAAACTTACCGATTTCAATGACACCGAATGAAGATGTGAAACAAATAGTTCAAGATACGTTACCTCAAACACACTATGATATTAAAGGTTGTACAATACTTACATTCAAAGAAGATTTGTCATTGTTAAAGGAAAAAATAACAGAGTATTTTGACAACTTCAAACAAGTAGAGTAAATGAACCATTTATTTTTCAAGCTTGACTTCAGATGGCTCAGGTAGCTCTATAAAGTAAATTGCCTTGTCAAATCCTTCTGGCATTCCGAGTCCTTCCTTCCGACAGGAAAAAAAATTCCTTCCGACAGGAAAAATTTTTCCATCCGACAGGAAAAATTTTTCCAGTTGTCCGTCCGTAAACCATTCAAATTTTCGAAAATTGAGAACTTTTTGGTCGAACTTCAGAAAAAATTTTTCCATCCGACAGGAAAAAATTTTCCTTCCGACAGGAAGAACTCTTCCATCCGACAGGAAAATATTTTCCTTCCGACAGGACACAAACGGATGACTGACGTTCCTCTTCCTGAATGCCTTCCAAAGCCAGAAGAACCGACAGACCCAGCACCACAACAGACTTACTAAGACTAAACACTTAGATTTTTCAAGCTTGACTTTTTACAATTTGAACTTTGTTTGCGTAGATATGAATTCTGAAAGAAGTATGAGGGTCTTGTATGACTTTATACTTCTCCCAGAGTTCATATCTGTCAAACTTACCTGCCATGGACTCTTTCATAAGTTCCATGAAATCGTCTTCGGACAATCCGGGGAAAAGTATAATGTCAGTAAGTATTCTTTTAACATCTTTACTTAAACTCTTTGCTGTCTGTACACAAATGACAACTGAAATGTTAAAGTGTCTGAGCTTCTTAAGAATTCGACACATATCTTGTTCTCTATTTTTTAACAAAGGATGAGAGGCGAAATCATCTAAGATAAGAAGACACCTATGAGGGTATGTCTTCCAATCGTAAGATTGCAATTTCTTCGAAATGTATTCTATCTCTTTCTGTTTGTTTCTGAAGTGTTTCTTCTCTAATATTCTCTGCATTTCCTCATTTGGGTCTTTAAACTTCGAATTTATATACTCATTTATAGCATTATACTTCAAAACTCTTCTTTGGTACTTCTTTATCCAATCCAACAACTCAGAGTCTTTTATACATACTAACTTAGACTTCTTTATAATATCTTTGAACGAATTGACGGTTTGGTCAAATTGACCAGAAGTACTACAAATAACAACTAACTCATAGAATGGGTTCTTCTCATCTAGTTCTTGTTGTTGTGCAGCCATTTTAAGATAAGTGAAAGTCTTACCCGACCCAGGTGGTGCAATTAGACCTGTTATACCATTCTGAGCAAATAAGAACTTGTCATGTATAGGCTTTATCTGAGCATTTTCTAACTTCCTCTTGTTCTTGTTTAAAACATTCTCAAATTTCTTGTCAATGTCAGCAAACTTTTTTTCTAACATATTTTTTAGAAAAATTAAAATTTTTATCTTTTAGAAAATGTCTAGCGATTTCGCTATCTATATTCGAGACAAGCTTTTCGACAGCAAAACATCTGTCGACCATAAAATCTTACATAGTGTAAACAAGAAAGGTGAATTTGTTCTAAAGTTCTGTTTCTGGGAATATGACAAGAACCATAAAACATTAAGCAGAGCAGTCTTAAAA